TATTTGTGATCACATAATACTATAAAATGTTGAGAATAACAAAAATCTAAATCAACAAAAAAAGCGTTATGCATTGCATGATTTACCGGAAATCATTAAGAGGTGATCGGTAGTCCTCATTTCAAGCTTGGTACGCGTCAAGCATCACTATGGCCATCAGCTAGGTTGTTTTTCTTCTCCTTCCCCAACAGGGCTAGGATCTTCCCATTCCCCAGTGGAATCAAGTTCTCGCAAGCCCTAAGCAAGTCGGATCTGACATCCTCAACTGTAGCAGTGGCTCGAAGATCGACCATGTCACTTTCTCTATAGTCAAGGATGTCGAGTCAAAGTCCTTTTTTGTTACGCTTCTGCCTACCCACAATATTGCACCATAACATGCACTGTTGCATATCATAATCTCACGCATCGTGTAAGATTAAGCGTACATTGCATTTGTCATGCGCATTAGGCATCCTTTATGACTGATGAATCTCCCCAGCAAATTATTCAGTCAATCCCTAACACATGACATCACACAAAGGCATTTATGTCATATCCCTACATAATAAAATTCTCAGCACATACTCACTTTCAAATACACTTCCACCATCAACGGTCAAATTTTTGAGCTACTCTTATATTGATCTCCTTCCACCTCGAATACTCGAAAAGCTGTCGCAATTCGTGCATTCAGGTAGAAGAGGATTAAATAGGGGTAACTGTCATAACCCAAAATTTGACCTCCCTTTTTGCCTTTTGCATAAGCATGTGCACTTGCATATCCAGCATACGCATCAGCATTTTTATCTATAGATTTATTGTAGGTATATCCAAATTTCTAGAGAGTCTTGAGGTTATGAGTGACTGTATCCCAGAAAAGTCGTCAAAGCATCAACATAGGTAAGACATAAGGATTTTTTATGCCTATCTATCCAAGCACAGGCTCAAAACACGGAACCATGGCCAAAGCACCTCATTCCAAGAAGAAGAAAAAGAGGATTTTTTATTGTGGTAACCGATTATCCAAATCTGTGTAACCAGTTACACCCTCAGAAACTAGCCTAGGATGTCACGTTTGGGAGCTGGTAACCGGTTACCAGGATTAGGGTAACTGGTTACACCTGCTGTTTTTGTTGATTTTCAATAGCTTCTTCATACTGCAACAACTTTTTTCCCATTCCTTTAGCATACTTCATTCTAGCATTATGTGGAAGATTCTAGACATATCAAAATATAAACTACATTTGCTTCACTACCTCATCATCAATAAGGCTCATCATGCACCCTAATTTCCACTCATTTTGGACCAAGTGATCATTGAGTTGCATTGTGATTCCCCAACCGAGTCAACTAATAACTAATTGAGTTAGACCCCAACTCAATGAGTTGGATCTAACTAACTCCAAACAAAATGGCAAACCTTATTTAACTACTTCTATACCAAATTCCAAGTCTTCACTCACTCCAAACCTTGGTCTATATAAGAAAACCCCTCACATTGATGAAAGGGACCTTGGCCATAATCTTCATTCTCTCATTTTGCTCTGAATTTTCGCTCTTCGTTCTCTGAATTTTCTACATCATTCTCTCTCAATCATCACCTTCTTCTTCCCAAAACCTCACCAAAGCTCAATAACCATTAAAGCTTAGCAAGCAAACTTTGCATTGAAGCTTGCTATTATTTGAGCTAAACATCCATTCATCTCTATTTCATCACTGAATTCTGCAGCAATAGCAACTTTTACTTCATTTAAAGCCTTGGAAGCTGATTATTGAAGGACTTTTTATGCAAGTTTGGATCCAAAGAAATTATTGCATTATTTTTGGTTTTCTCACAATAGATTGCTAAAGATATCTGGATTTTATGGTTTCTAAGCTTCTCTTCATCATATTTTGATCACAATAATTACCAAGGCAAATCTCAGCCTTGTAGGTTAGTGAATTTTGCTTAATTTACTGCTTTTAATCGATTTCGTATTTTTGCAATGCAGTGCTTAATTGATGCTTCGCTACTTGAATAATTGCTTTGCATGTTTGATTCTATTAGTTCTTGATTGCTCTGAATTAACATGAATTTTGCATCTACTTCCATGCTATGTTACACTGTGATTACATGCAATAAGTGATTCCGAAAAGTACTTTTTGAAATTCTATTTTTGGAGGTGTAACTGGTTACTGCTTTTGGTGTAACCGGTTGCACCCCTTTCCCGCGCTCTAGGAACTCACTTTATGCATGGTGTAACCGGTTATACCATTTCAAGTAACTGGTTACACCTAACATATTTTGCCAAATTCGTGCTATTTTAGCGTTGTTTTGCAAGCTTTTCTTGTATACTTTCCCATGCTTTCCTATATTAATGCCAATGCCATTGATTTAGGTCAGTACATACTTACAATAATTTTTTCTTTATTAATTACATGATTTTCCTTGATTATTTTGCAATTTTATCACATGTTTGAAGCACTTTTTGCATATTTTTGCTTATGTGTTAACATGAATAACGCTTAGAATTACATGCTAGCTTGTTCTTGTTAATGCTTTGCAATTCAACTTGATAAATTAGATTTATTCTTCCTTGAGCAAATTTAATCTTGTTCAACATTATTTCTCCCACTTGCTTTGATAATCTTTTAACTCGCTTGAAAATTTATTGACATTTTCTTCCCTGTGATTAATTGATCAAAACCTTGTTTTAATTGATCAATTGCCCCGTTCCCCCTCTTTAGGATCTCCTTAGAGCCACTTCTTTCTTGATCATATTTCGAGCCGAACGTCTGCATAATAAGATGGAGCACTGTACAAATTGTGTTGTTATCCTTTCAATCTCGATTTATGCACTACACTTTGGGTGCTAGAGAAGGAATGAGAATGGAGAATTTTTACCCTCATTCTGACTATTCTTGGTAGGGGACGAATGACCTTGAGTTTAGAATAGTCACCTCTATTCCCAGACTGTGGTGTCTCTTGAGTCGATCCTTGGTAGTTACTCATCCCTGCCCTAGTCTTTTCTCTCCCTTTTGGGTTAGCAACCTTATTCTAGTTCAAACACCATTCGTTGGTTAACCACTTCTTGTCTGTTAAAATACCAATCTCCCCATTATTCTTCAGTTAACCACTGTTTATGAGTTACAATAACGAATCCTCAGGAGAGTAAACAACCTTCTCTTGGTTCAAACTTCTTTTTCTTGGTTAAGCACTATCTGTCAGTTAAAAGACCAATTGCTCATTTTCTTCGATTAATCACTGCCTGTCAATTAACATACCGAGTCTCTGCTGGGTTAATCCTCTTTTGGTCAAAACACCGAGTTTTTCTTGGTTAACCACTGCCTGTCAGTTAAAAGACCAATTTTCTTCTTCCCCATCGAAGTCCCTGCTTCCTTTGGTTAACCGCTGCTTGTCAGTTAAAAGACCAATTCCTTCCTTTCTCTTCAGTTAACCACTATTTATCAGTTAAAATATCGAGTCCTTTTGGGTTAACAACACTTCTTGATTCAACACCCTTTCGTTGGTTAACTACTGCCGGTCAGTTAAAAGACCAACTTCTCCCTTTCATCGGTTAACCACAGTCTGTCAGTTAATTTACTGAATCCCTAATGGGTCAAACACTTCTTTTTGGTTCAAACACCCATTTCCTTAGTTAATCACTTCCTATTAGTTAAAAGACCAATTTTCCTCCCTCCGGTGGAGTCATTACCCCACTTCTTGGTTAACCACTGATTATCAGTTAAAAGACCAACATTCTATTTTCCTTCGATTAACCACTTCCCGTCAGTTAACATACCGAGTCTCTTTTTGGTTAACACCTTTTCTTGGTTCATCATCTTCTTTTTGGTTAACTACTACCTATCAGTTAAAAACCAATCTTTCTTTTCCCCAATAAAGACCTATGTCTCCTTCTCTTGAGTTAACTACCGAGTCTCGGTTAAAACACCCTTGCTCCTACTCCTTGTTTTCTCTCTTGGTTTTGACACCACTCTCTTACTTCTCTCTTTCTTTTCCTTAGTTCCCCGAGCTACGTAGACACTGAATTCCTCATTGCACTATGAGGATACGTAGGCACAAGATTACAAAATTTTGGCGAGCCACATGCTCCTTTCTCTTCCTTGGTTCCATGAACTACAAAACTCTGAATTCCTCATTGCATTATACGTAGGCACGAGGGCCCAAATCCTCCCTGAGCACTTTCTTTGTCTCTTTTCCTTTCCTCTTTCGCGAGTAGCCTGTAAATAGATCACCCATCTGAGCCTAGAAGCATTCAAAATGGTTCTCATCGAGTACGACAGATGCGTGGGGTGCTAATATCTTTTCCTCGCATAACCGACTCCCTTACCTGTTTCTCTTTCCCTTGAATTTTATCGATATTTTTCCTTTTCTTTTAGAATAAATAAAGTTCAATGACAACTCTGTTATACATCGAGCGTGCAATACGTTCAGATATATTTCCGATAGCTTCACGTATATTATATATATTTTTAAAATTTTAAAGTTTAATGTAATATTATAATAATAGATCATGAATGATTTGTAAGGTAAGTTGTGGATGAGACACTTATTATTTAAAGATACAACAATAAGAGACTTGACAATTGAGAAACATAATTGTTAAATATACATGAAGTGGAGGAGTACAGAGTTAAGTCACTTACTTCAAAATGGTTAAGAAATAAGATACACACAAATATGAGAGAGAATATAAGCTTGAACTTGATAGACGTAATGGATAATACTTAACATAAATGGAATGTAGGAATTAACAAGACACTGGCATATAGAGAAAAATTAATTGCTATTGATACTGTGGATGGTTTATTTATGAAACAATATATAAAGATATAAGGTCAAATCTTGGCTTAATTGTGAAAGTAACAAATCAAGCATTTCAAGGTGGAAAGGAAAGTCTTGAAGATTTTGAGATCATTGAACGTTGTGGTTATCTGTGTGTATTGAGTTCAGTGAGGTTGAATTGTTGTTGTTGCTCTGGTTTGCAGGTTATGTGAAGGTTTGGGTATATTAGCTTGAAATGAGCTTCAGTTCCCATCTTCACAAATTCAACCCTTTCAAACACCCAATTCCCTCCATCAGAAAAACCGGTTCCTTCCTCTCATTCTGCTCAACACCCCAACCCACCGTCGTTTCCAACCCCCTCCACGCGTTTCGCCACAGAACCACCATAACAACCTCCAACAACTTAACCAGAGTTATATCCTTCTGCGCCGCCACAAAAAACCTCTGTTTAGGTAAAACGATTCACGCTTCAATCCTCATCAATGGGTTCAACAAAATAACGCCGGTCACTCTCAATTCCCTCATCAACATGTACTCCAAATGCAACCGACTCGAAACCGCGAGGTTTTTGTTTGATTCTTCTGATAGTTATTTATTAGATGATGTTTCTTGGAATTCAATTATTAATGGTTATGTTAGGTTGGGTAGTAAGAATAGTTATAGCCAGGTTTTTGAACTTCTAGTTAGAATGCATCGATTTGGATTTGGTTTTAGTGATTATACTTTGAGTAGTGTGCTTAGAGCTTGTTGTTGTGTTGATAATAATTGTTTTGGGAAATTGATTCATGGATTTGCAGTTAAGCTTGGTTTGGATTTTGATGTTGTGGTTGTAACTGCCTTACTTGATATGTATGCAAAAACTGGATGTTTATCGGAAGCTGTTAGGGTTTTTGAGAGGTTTAGTTGGAAGAATGATTTTATGTATAATGCTATGATTGCTGGATTTTTGCAAGAGAAGAGTGGTGTGTGTTATGGAAATGCACGGGAAGCGCTTGGTGTTTTTGGTGAGATGAGGAGGAAGGGATTGAACTGTTCGAAGTTTACGTTCTCGAGTATTGTAAAGGCGTGTGTTGGTGTTGGAGATTTTGAGGTTGGGAGACAAATTCATGCACAGATTATTAAGAATGGTCTACAGGGTGATGAGTTTGTTTGCAGTTCGTTGGTGGACTTGTACTCGTTTTTTGGTTTAATTGGAGATGGATTAAGGTGTTTTGAGATGACACATAAATTGGATGTTGTCTTGTGGACGTCAGCAATTGCAGGTTGTGTTCAGAATGGACAGTTTGAAAATGCTTTGTCGTTGTTCTATAGATTTTTGGCTAATGGGAGGAAACTGGACGAGTTCATTGTATCATGTGTGATGGGTGCTTGTGCAGACATGGCTGCCGCAAGGACTGGAGAGCAGATTCAGGGTTATGCATTGAAATTTGGTCTTGCAAATTTTATCATTGTTAACAACTCGCAAATTTGCATGTATGCAAAGTCTGGAGACATAGATTCGGCTAGGATCACCTTTGAAGAGACAGAGAATCCTGATGTGGTGTCCTGGTCTGTTATGATTTGCGGCTATGCACAACATGGTTTTGCTAACGAAGCTCTTAGACTTTTTGAGTCAATGACTATATCTGGGATTGAGCCTAACCAGGTCACGTTACTTGGGGTCCTAACTGCTTGTAGCCATGGAGGTTTTGTTGACGAAGCATTAAGATTCTACGAAACCATGAAGAAAGATTATGGCATTGCGGCTAATGTAAAGCACAGTGCTTGCATTGTTGACCTCTTAGGCCGTGCGGGAATGCTAGAGGAAGCTCAGAGATTTATTATTGATTCTGGTTTTGAGGATGACCCGGTAATGTGGCGGTCCTTGCTTGGTGCTTGTAAGGTCCATAAGGATACTCACATGGGAAAGCATATTGCTGACAGAGTAATAGAGCTTGAACCTCATGAAGCTGCATCTTATGTGCTTCTTTACAACATTTACAATGATGCGGGGAAAAAGAAACGTGCTCTAGAGGTAAGAAAACTCATGCAAGATAGAGGAGTTAAAAAGGAACCTGGTATAAGTTGGATTGAAGTAGGAAATACAGTTCATACATTTTTGGTGGACGATCGTTCTCATCCAACGAGTGAACTGATTTATTCAAGGTTGGCAGAAATTTTGGGGAAGATAAAGAAAATTAGCTTCGATGATGAGAAGCTTCCTTTGGGCATCTCTGAAACAGAACACAGCGGTGCCGTCAAAATGAATCACCATAGTGAAAAGTTAGCTGTAACTTTTGGAATTATGTCTTTACCAAAATCAGCACCAGTGAGGGTGATGAAAAACTTGAGGGTTTGCTCTGATTGCCATACAACAATGAAACACATCTCCATTGTGGAGAAGAGAGAAATAATTCTTCGAGATGCTATTCGTTTCCATCATTTCAAAGATGGTTTATGTTCGTGTAAAGATTACTGGTAACAAAAAAATCAGATTTTTAAGAATGGTCTACAGGATGATGAGTTTGTTTGCAGTTCGTAGGTGGACTTGTACTTGTTTTTTGGTTTAATTGGATGAGCCTTATTGATATTCTTATTCTTCTTTAGAAGATTGACAAATTCGATTTTCTAGCTCGCATGGGAGCTTTCTTTGGTGTCATCTTCAAAAGTATTGAGATTGGTCTTCTTATCTCGGTAATCAAAATATCGAATACTTTTACAATGTTGAGTATCGCGATGTTATTGCAACTGCGATTTAAAATTGTTTTTATTTTTATGCAGGTGGCAATATGTTTTGCCAAAATTCTCTGGCAAGTGACGAGGCCAAGGACCGCGGTACTTGGGAAGCTTCCCGGGACAACTGTTTATCGGAATGTCCTGCAATATCACAAAGCAGCTCAGATTCCCCGCATGCTCATCCTCAGGGTTGCTTCTGCAATCTATTTCTCAAATTCCAACTGCATCAAGGACAGGTATATCACTAAAAAAAGTTGCATATTTGCATGGACCCAAAAAAATGTATTTAAAGTTTCTGTTTCGATGGAATTGAGGCTAATGAATGAGTGAAACATATTTTAGAGAATATTGAAGTGGCTGACTGTTGAAGAGGCTCAAAGGACAGCAAGTGAATTTGCCAGTATACAGTATCTCATTGTTGAAATGTCGCGTAAGGATATCGATGAAATACTCCTTTTTTGATCAATTTCGATAATCGAATTTACTAATTATGCAACTATATTGTTGCAGCTGTTACTGATATTGACACTAGTGGCATTCATGCCTTCGAAGATTTACTCAATAGCCTCAAGAAAAAAGATGTCCAGGTACTAATCAATCACAAAATTCAACTTAGTCCTTCAAATAAATCGGTCTGGATAGATTGTGATTGAAGAAATCAATGAATTGCTTAAATCGATGAATTACTTGTGTGCCATGAAACACATCTATAATAATGATACTATTATAATGTATAAAACAACGTCATCAACATGTACTAAGTAAACAAATTCTCATGTTTGTGATCTTTTTGACAGCTTGTGGCGAATCCGGGACCGATTGTAATTGAGAAGCTTCATGCATCAGAGTTAACAGGCTTAATTGGGGAAGATAACATATTTCTGACAGTCGCCGTTGCAACTTTTGGTCCAATGGGTTTAGATTTTTGAACAACATGAATACTATTTAAAAATTGAAGTGTTTTTTAATTCAAATATGAAGAAAAAAGGTGTGTGTGTCTGTGTGTGAAGGTGTTAATGAATCTCTCAGGAACGATGAAAGGGCATGTAGATTTGTTTTCCTTAGTTTTTGTTTGATACTCATTTATTTCTAATTTCAATTGATGTCATGTAAAAAGTCATAAGTGAAGAAATGTGTTTTTAATGTTGATTTTATTATATTATACCTCTTGTTTATGATCTTATATGGTGTGGAAGTTAATATGAATATATACTCTTTTGTGAATTATATATACTCTATGATTGGATTGAGTTATATTTAATGAATTTTTAAAATGAAAATGGATATTATAAACAAACAAATTTGTAGAGTTTAGGTGTGATTTATTAGAAGAGGCGAATCCCCTTCTAAATTTAAACTTATTTTAGTCCCTTCATGTACATTGGAGCACCTATCTTTCCACTTAACCAACAACGTTTACATGAAATTTTATAGAAGTAAAAGTATATATTCTATGGCAGTCCAAACCTTATGTTGCCTACAATATTTAATTACGATGCTACCAATATTGTTTTCTCTGCATATGGAGAATATTTAGTTCAAACTCTTATTCACCATACACTAGTGTCGAACTCTACCACCACTATACACTATGAAGCTATATCACATTATTGAAAACCTAGCATACAATCACATTATTGAAAACCTAGCATACAACCAACCTGTATATAACAATGCCATATCAAGTCTAAGGTATCAAGTTATCAACCTGATCTTTTGATGAAACATTTAACAAAGATAGTAAGTTATTAAACCTTTAAGAAGAGGTGTTAATGTGTGACCTCCATGATTAGCATGAGAGAGAAATAAATATTGAATTTAAAAAATATTCTTATTGAATTAATTTGTAGAGTGTGTACAAGGGTTAATATATAGACCTCCTTTGTGTAACCAAACTAATAGAAAAAGAAAGGAAAAAAAAGCCTAGGCTGACTAATTCAACACCAAAAAAATAATAATAAAGTAACAAAACTATATTTTAACACCTCCCCTCTCAAACTGGAGTGTATGTTGAGTAGATCTAGTTTGGACACCAATGAATTGAAAGGGTCAGGGTGTAAGGATTTCGTGAAGATGTTGACAACTTGATTTGATGACTTTATAGGTTGGGGATGAACAATTTTGTCTTGGACCTTATCTCATATTATATGGCAATCCATTTCTATATGTTTTGTTCGCTCATGAAAGATTGGATTTATTGCTATGTAGATGGCGCTTTGGTTGTTACAAAAAATGGTAACAAGTTGTGTTTTTGAGACTGAGAAGTCTTGAAGGAGATGTAATGACCATTGTGCCTCGCATGTAGTGTTGGCAATGACTCTGTATTCGCCTTCGAAAGAGGATCGAGAGACAACTTGTTTCCTTAATTTCCAACTGATGAGTGATGATCTGAGATAGAAACAAAATTTCGTAGGAAATCTTCGTGCTAGGCTGCAAGAGCCTCAATCAGCATATGTGAAACCTATAAGAGTTAGGTTGGACTGGGACTTGAAGAATAGGCCTGTAGCAGAAGAGTTATTCAAGTAACGGACAATTCGTAATGCTGCAGCTAGGTGTGTTGTGGTGGGGCTTGCGAGGAATTAACTTAATCTACATACAGCAAAACAGATATTAGGGCGAGAACGTGTTAAATATATGACCTTACCTATGAGGCGTCTAAATTGTGTTGGATTAGGTAGTGATTGTGTGGATTCAGCATTCTAGTTGATTGTGGGATCCATTGGCGTTAGATGCCGGTTTTGCGCCTAAGAGACATGTATCTTGTAATAAGTCTAAACAATATTTTCTTTGACATAGCGAGATGCCCAAGGATAATTGAGCAATTTCTAAACCAAGAAACTATTTTAAAAGACTTAAGTCTTTAATGATGTATTTCTTGTCTAGAACACTTTTAATGGTGTTAATTTCAACTAAAGAGTTTCCTGCAAGCAAAAGGTCATCCACATACACAAGAATAGTAGTAAAATTCGAATTATGATTTTTAATAAATAGAGAATAACTAAGTCAACAAGAGCTTGGGTAAAAGTGTTGTTCCATTGTCTACTAGTCTGTTTAAGGCCATAGATTGACCTTTTTAAGTTTATAAACAATGTTTTTGGAGATAGACTGAATGCCAGGAGGAGTGATCATGTAAACCTCCTCTTCTAAATTACCATGAAGGAAAGCGGTGTTTATATCAAGTCGGTGTAAATGCCAGCAATAGAAAGGAGTGTATAGATTGTTTTCATTTTGACAACTGGGCTAAAGGTTTCATGGTAATCGAGTCCTTCGGTTTAAGTAAAAACTTTAGCCACTAAACAGGCTTTGTACCTTTCTATTGTGCCATTAGAGTGAAACTTTAACTTAAAAATTAATTTACAACATATGGCTCATTTATTGGAAGGGAGGGAAGTGAGTTTCCGAGTGTTATTATCAATAAGGGCTTGTAGCTCAAGATCAATGGCATGTTTCCATGCAGGATCTTTGATAGCAGCAGAATAGAAAGTAGGTTCATGAAAAGAAGATAAATTTAGGCAATAAAATTTATGAACATGGGATAAATTATCATAAGATAAGTAGTTAGATAAGGGATAAAGAAAACATGTTTTTGGGGATGTATAAGTGGAAGGGCCATGAATAAGAGAGCAATGGAAGTCTTGTAGGTAGGAAAGATGTTCAAAAACACGATTGGATTTTCTAATGGATTGAGTGATGGGGGCAGGAAAGGTATTTGGGTGACTTTTTCACACATTTGCCACAGTCTTAAAAATTCTAAAATGTCACAATTTGAAAAAAAAATTTCATAATACCACAATTTTACCTTGAGATCGTCCATTCAAAGGACGACCCATTGAAGACCCAAAATAAGTAGTTGGGATTCGGCCATCCAAAGGCCGACCTATTCTACGATTTTTTTTTATATTCTAAAAATAAATATATAATATATATTATTAATTTATATTTTAAATTGTTTTTTTATATATTAAAATTTGTTATATGATTTAAAATATTAATAAATAAATAATTTAATTAATTTAAATAATTTTTAATATTATTAAATATTTTTCACAATATCTAATTAATTATTTAACTAATTACATTAATTTGCTTATTAAATAAAATCATAAATAAAGAAAATTTTATTAATACTTATGAGTGAAAAAAATACATCAATTTTGTCTACGCAAATGACTGCCAGTTCCACACATTTTACTCTTTTTCACGCGTTTCCCCCTGCCTAACTCTTCGGGTTGCCGTCTTGGAGGTGATAGGGTAGAGTCGGAAGTCAACTCTTCATTTTCAAGTTGATGTGATGTATCGACCATGTCCACATTAGTAACAGAAAAATCTGGCCATTCCATGAGTTGATCATCAGTTAGGGTAAAGTTAGGGACTGGCTGTGATAGTTGGGTGAAGGTGGTTGGAAGACTTTTTTGGATGGGAGGGTAATAAACATCGCCAGTGCGGCCGGTTGAAGTCGGTTGAGACATTGAAAGGTTAAATGTTTGGTGTTGTGGTTGGGGCTAAGAGAAATCAAAATTAGGCTGAGGAATTGGAGTGAATTGAAAAGAAGGTCGAAATGTGATTTGTTCCTGGTATTGTCGGTGGTAGTAGAAGTTTGGTTGTGGGGTTGGGGTGTATGATGTTGGTTGTTGAGAGGAGGTGGCAAAGAATGTGGTATAAGTGTGTTGATATGTTGGTTGGGGTTGTGTGGGTTAGGGGTGTTGGTATGGGGGTTGGGTGAATGAAGATGTCTGGGTTTGAAATTGTGAAGGGTTCACCTGAGACATTTCTTGAGGCATGGACGAAGAGGATCTTTGTTGTGATGAAGACGATGCATATTGACGGGGGGTCTTCTAGGAACTGACCTTGAGAAGCATGCATAAATGGAATGGATAAAAACCATTGCATATATGTAGTACTATGAACATAGTTACCGTTAACCATGTTACCTCGTAGGGTCAATTTTTTTTCTGTTTTTCCGCTCGTTATTCTCTTCTCTATTTATATTACGCCAATGATCTCCCCATGTATTGGGCATTTCAGTCTCATGTTGTTCACGTAGACATCTAGGCTGAGACGGAATTTCTTGTTGAAATCCAAACTGCAATTTTACCCTATCAGCCTGATGCATTTCAACAATATGAAAACTGATAATTGAAGTTGTAGCGCTCCAAATCTGGCTATCTTCAAGGACACATTTTGGGTAGCTTGGGTAGGGCCTCCAAATAAACTATTAAAGAAAATATAATAGTTAGAGTTTAAATACAGATGGTGGCACATATTTAGAGAATGTAGCGCTAACAAACTTACATCGTTAGCTCTCAATCTGTCTAGTGCAAATCTAAATCCTCGGACATAGTGCCGAGGATTGTTTTGGTAAGTCATGTCTCTTCAAACAAATCATGCAATGTTAAAAGAAAGAAATATAATATAGGGATGTAAAAAAAATAAACGAAAAAGAAAATGCAAATAATTTTTACCTTGTTGCATAAGGATGGTGTGAATCGACGGGACTCTCTGGAGCTATTAGTGGTATGTGCCAATATGTCCAAACACTTAGAAGTAGAACACACCCACCAATACTTTTGACCCCTACCATACATGCTTTACACATATGCCTATATAATGTAGCCAAACAAGAAGAACCCCAACTATATCTATTGCATTTATCTAAATCTCCTACTAGGGGTATCCAAGAAGAACGTAAATAGTTATGGCTCTTGTCTGGCATTAATACTTTAGCTATGAGTAGTAAAATATATATTTTTGCATGGAGAATGTTATCTTCATCGGATGGTGTTGCGTTTTACCGTAATTGTGCTAATATAGTTTGTAGCCAAACAATTTTAACACAAGCTTTATGTTTATCAGATGTTGACGGTTCGATACCTAAATGTTCCATATATACATCACCGCCTACCTGAGTAGGACCATTCACAACCTTGCCATTCACACGAAGACCTAATAACATACTTACATCCTCCAAAGTGATGGTACATTCACCTGTTGGAAGATGGAAAGTATGTGTTTCTGGTCTCCACCTCTCCAATATAGTGAGTACAAGCTTTGAATCAACTTTGATTGAGGAGATTTCTGCAACTTTTGCGAAACCTGCTCGTTCCAAATACGGTTTGATTGCGTCACTTGGTGCATCAATAGCATGAGAATGTAGTCTAAATCTCTCGCCGTCGGACTGTTTCAAATATAGAAAAATAAAGAAAAAGACATACAAACTTGATGATGTAATATTAAACACAAGTGTGAAGAAAAAAACTTACAAAAGCGGTGACATTGGTCAGTGTTTCCCGATGATTTTCTCCCATCCACAACATTGCCATTTAGAAGTATTGATTTAGAATGTTATTTTTTTCAAGAATGTATTTAGAAGTAGTGATTTTTAAGTATTGGTTTAGAAGTATTTATAAGAAAAAGAGATGCACCCTAATACTACATGAGACATACAAATGTCTGTTGAAAAACTACATGCCTAATACTAGACTGCACCCTACTATGATTCCTCTGCACCCTAATACCTAACTGCACCCTATTATGATTCCTCTGCACCCTAATTCTACTATCTCTACTATCTGCACCGTATGCCATGCAATGACACATGGTCAACATGCAATTATCCTCTTCAATGGTTCGCCCTTTGGATGGCCAAACTCCTACACGTGCTTCATGGGTTCGTCCATTGGATGGACGACCCTTCACTTGGAAGGCATGGGTTCGTCCTTTGGATGGACGACCCTTCACTTGGGAGGCATGGGTTCGTCCTTTGGATGGACGACCTTTCACTTGGTCAACATGCACAATTGGACTATATATTTTGCATGCAAGTGTTGTAGTCTACACATCTAACTCCCACTCCCACACTGTCTGTATCAAAATATCATTCATGGCAGATAAAAATACATTGGTCACCATGCACTATAATGGTTCCGTGTTTACTGATGAAAATATCGGTTTTTCATTCAACGGAACAAATACGGTGATGTTCAAACTTCATCGAAGTTCTGATATCCTTCATTTAAAAGATAGAATCGGAAAAAAATTCATCGTTCAGTTCGGGATATTACTTACCGTCAACCATTACCTAATGGGGTAGATGGTGGTGTCTTCTACGTAATGATGCAGATAGATACAGACAGCGCAATCAAATCAATGTTTCAATGTCATTACAGAATGCCTCAGTTGAAGACGATTGAGTTATATGTTCGCCTTGATGACGAAGCATATCCAACGCAATCATCATATTCGCATCAATACAGAGTGAGCCAAACAACTGATGAAGAAATAACGCAAAATAATGAACCTTTCATCCGGGACGAGGAGGTTGGTGAATACAGTGACGATGAACTCGATGATGTTCGCTTTGAAGATCTATTCGGTGATGGCGATGACGAGGATGACGATGAACTCGTGCATTCACATGTAATATATGCTCAACCCATAAATCTGTACAATCCACCAGTGCATATGTCAAACATATGTATGGAGTCTTCTCAACCCATCTATATTTTTGAAAATGACAAACCAAACCATACTGGTGAAAACTTAGAAGTAGGTTTGGTGTTTGAAAATAAGGAAGTGTGTGTTCTTTTTTTACAACATTGGCATATTAGTAACAACCTTGACTATGCAGTATATAAATCTGATTCAGTAAGGTATATAATAAAATGTAAGAACCCACAATGCGTCTTCAAATGTAGAGCTGCATTGCGTAAAAAAAGCACATTATGGGAGATCGCTACTATAAGAGGATCACACACTTGCACAACAACTTCTATGTCACAGGATCATAGAAAATTAGATTCTGAAATTATTAGTCACAACATCAGAGAACTTGTTAACAGCAACGCTTCACTAAAAGTCAAAGTGATACAAGCCCATATTGCTGAAAAATACGGTTATAGAATCTCATATCGGAAAGCTTGGATTGCAAAGATTAAAGCTGTAGAATCACTTTATGGGAATTGGGAGACGTCTTACAATGACCTACCATAATGGTTGTTGGTGATGAAGACATATCTTCCTGGAACTGTTATACAGTTGGAAACATTGTCGATTATTACAGAGGACGAATCCCAATTGGGTGACAAACCAAAATTTCACTGACTTTTTTGGGCATTTGAACAGTGTATCCGTGGTTTTACTCACTGTAAACCGATTGTGCAAATTGACGGAACCTGGTTGTACGGAAAGTTGGAAATGGTAACATTTTCCCGATAGCATTTGCATTGGTTGAAGGAGAGACAAATGATGGTTGGAGTTTCGTTCTCAGGAATTTGAGAATGAACGTGACCCCCCAGGCCAATCTTTGTCTAATATCTGACCGACATCCATCAATCAAGAGTGCTTACGATGATCCTGAAAATGGGTGGCAGTTTCCTCCATCTTCACATGTTTACTGTATCAGACACATTGCGCAAAACTTCATGCGTGAGTTCAGAAACAAAGAACTACGGAAAATAGTTGTCAACATGGGTATGTCTACATCTTCACGAGTTAATGTTTCAATTTTTATTTATTGACTTATTGATTTTCATATGTTTTACCGAACATTTTGTTTAAACATTTTCATCTACAGGATATGCACTAACAGAGGCAACATTTAACTACTACAGGGGCGAAATACGAAGAACAAATAGAGCAGCTTTGGAGTGGCTAGACAATATTCCCAGAGAGAAGTGGTCGAGGGCGTTCGACGGAGGACGGCAGTGGGGACACATGACAACAAATTTGGCCGAAGCTCTGAACTCGATACTTAAGGCTACCCGAAGCCTTCCTATTACAACATTGGTCAAGTCAACGTACTATCGTCTGGGATTGCTGTTTGGAAAACGAGGACACGATTGGACAAAACTATTGGCATCCGGTCAAACTTTCACGGAAAACTGTAACAAGGGAATGGATGACGAAACGATTAAATCTAGCAGCCATAATGTCATTTAA